AAGCGGACCTTACCCCTGGTGAGACAACACATTAGCTAAGGCACTTGCCTTGCACACAGTAGATCCAGATTTGATTCCGGGCACCTGTGTGTATAGTTGTCCAAGCCTGTCCTGGAGTGATCCCTGAGCACAGAGCCAGGAGTAAGCTCTGAGCATAGATAGGTGTGGCTCACCCCCACCTCCAAAAAGTTCCCTTCAATAAACATATACTGAGTAAAAAGTGTCAGAAACCTTCAGCATGACCTTCATCAGAAACTTCCATCATATTCTGGCTTTTATTCCAATGGTCTCCAGTACCTTGTCTCCCTAGATCCTAGCTTTATTTTCTTGTAAATGTTTTTGAATGTTAGTTTCCTTGATTGAATGTCAACTGGATAATGAAATGTCTGTCCTTGGGCTATAAAAGTTTTTACATTTTGGTGTTTTATTTGTGTTTGATAGTTTAGGTTTGGGTACTATAGTTTGCTCTGTACTCAATCAGGTAACGTTTGTGATTTCTCTGGAATAGAATTTTCACATAAGCTTAGCTGATTTCCAGTCTTCTGGTTAGCTCCAAAGTGAAAATTGTACCCAAGATACTCCTCAGACACAACCAGGAATGTGCATGTTTTCATGTAGATGCAGATTCTCTCAAGACATCTATTCAATATTTATGGCCTAAATTTTGTTTGCTTCCCCTAATGGATACGTCTGTCTTACCTCCAAACCTCAGAATAAGACTTAATTTGGATAAGGGATCTTCTTTTCTGCCGCCCCCCCCCTTTTGATTTTGTTTATGGTTTTTGGATTACAGTGGCAGTGCTCAGGGATCACTACTGACAGGGCTTGAGGCATCATTTGGGATGCCAGAAGTCAATCCCACATCAGCCACATGAAAGACAAGCACTCTACCTGCTGTATCACTCCAGCCCCAGAGACAAGTTAGTTATAAAATAAGGTTAAAAGGTAAAGGTAAAGGCCCTCCCGTTGATCATCGATTTGCTCGAGCGGGCCCAGTAACGTCTCCATTGGAGACTTTGTTGTTACTGTGTCTGGCATATCGAATACTCTCGGTAGCTTGCCGGGCTATCCGAGAGGGACGGAGGAATCGAACTCGGGTCGGCCATGTTGGCTGCGTGCAAGGCAAACACCCTACCCGCTGTGCTAAAATAAGGTTAAAGGAAGATTATTCAAGCGACTCCTAGTCATACAACCAATGTCCTTATAAAAAAGGAAAGTTGAACATAAACATACACACAATAAGAAAATCTCCTATGATGAAGTTTCTGTTAATTTTCTCTACCAAATGCACATGAGAAAATGTTTTACATCACCAATTCTCAAGAACATGAAAATCAAAACAACAATGAGTTATGACCTCATACCACAGAGACTGACACACATCCAAAAGAACAAGAGTGACCAGTGCTGGCTCAAAGGTGGGGAGAAAGGGACTCTCCTTCATTGTTGGTGGGACAGACATAGAAAGACTGCACTCATCTGTAGAATATAAAGTTACAGAATTAGAGTCGAACACCAAGGAATAGTTGAGGTAAGTACCAGGAGGTCTGCTCCACGGCTTGGAAGCTGGCAGCACATGCTGGGGGAAAAGGCAGCTCAGATAGAGAAGGGAACACCAAGTAAAGAATGTTTGGAGGACTCACTCGGGATCAGAGATGCATGCTGAAAGTAAACTACAGATGAACACGATGGCCACTCAGTACCTCTACTGCAAACTACAATACCCTAAAGGAAAGAGTGAGCAAAAGGGAATGCCCTGCCACACAGGCAGGGTGGGGTGGGGGATGGGGTGGGGGTGGGAGGGCGACTGGGATCATTGGTGGTGAAGAATGGGCACTGGTGGAGGGATGGGTACTCGATCATTGTATAACTGAAACCCAAGCACAAAAGTTTGTAAGTCTACAACTGTACCTTGTGGTGTTTCACTAAAAATAAATAAATAAGTAAATAAATAAATAAAGGAATACTGATTTTACCAGTCAATAGTCCTGATAGGAGCAGTACAGCCGTCCCTAATTCAATCGCTGGAAACCCATCTGGACCCCATGGCCACTAGAAATGATCTCTGAACACAGAGGTAGGCATAAGCCCTGAGCACCATCAGGTGTGACCTCTAAACAAGTTCATATCCAATTGGATATATCTCTCTTTATTCTTTCTCAAGCGGATTACCTTCCATTTTTTTTGACATCAACAATCTCAGAGTTGTAAAATATCTAGAAAGTGGAGGCTGGCAATATTTTTATATAAAGTATCATATTTTCGCTCTGCAGGAGCTTGCCATGCTTTGCCATGCGAGCGAGATACTCTCGGTAGCTTGCTGGGCTCTCTTAGAGGTGTCTCCATTTTGACAATTGTTACTGTGTTTGGCATATCGAATACATCACGGGGAGCTTGCCAGGCTTTGCCATGCAGCCAAGATACTCTCGGTAGCTTGCCAGGCTCTCCTAGAGGGGCGGAGGAATCGAACTCGGGTCTGCCATGTTGGCCACTTGCAAGGCAAACGCCCTACCCGCTATGCTACCGCTCCAGCCCAGCAGGAAAATATCCACAGGAATGTAATAGTCACAGGGGATTTTAATACCACCTTCTCATCACGATAGATAGATAGATAGACAGATAGATAGATAGATAGATAGATAGATAGATAGATAGATACCAGACAATCAAAAAGGAAGCAGCAATCTTAAAAGAAGAAATAGAGGAAATGCATCTATCAGTCTCTCCAGACCCCAAAGATGAGGACACACTTTCTTCTCCAGGAAACATGGGACATTCCTAGGAGAGACCACATGCCAGGGTGCAAAAAAGCCTTCAGAAACTGATGAAGCTAAAAATCATACCAAATATCCTCTCAGATCATAATGCTTTGTAGTTGGAAATAAATCACAAGCATTAATCTGGGAAAAATTCAAGAACTTGAAAACAACACATTATGCATTACTGAACAATCACTGGGTCAAGAAGGAAGTTAAAAAAGAAATAAAAATATTACAGATATAAATGAAAATGCAGAGAGAGCTACCAGAACTTATGGACTCAGTAAAAGCTGTGTACTGAGAAAAATTGATAGCAAATTGTTCATAATAAAACAAGAGCAGTGACAAATAGGTGACCTAACCTCACACCTCAATAATCTAGAAAAAGAACAAAGGAAGCTTAAAGTAAGCAGAAAAAATACTTTGGATAGCCAATACTTTGGATAGATAAGTAAGACATTAAGGAAGTCATAAAAATTCAAGCATAAATAAAAGATAAGGAAATAAAAACCACTGCAAAAATCAATAAAACCAATAATTGCTTTTTGAAAGAATCAGTAAGATTGGCAGCCCCCGGCTAGAATCACAAATGGAAGTAAATAGAGAGAGAATGCCGTGATACATCAAATCAGGAATGGAAGAAGAAATTACAAGTCACCTTAGAAATATAAATAATCATATGAGATTACTGTGAAAAATTAGCAACACTAAATTGAAAGATCTAACAAAAGTGGATAAATTCATAGAATGTTACAATCTCCTGAGGCAGTGTCAGGATAAAGCAGAAAACTCGAAGAGAACCTTTGCTGTTTAGGTAGTTGAGAATTTTCTAGAATGTCTCCGAGGGCAGGAGAGGCAGTACAGCACCTAAGGCACTTGGCTTGCAGGTAGTCAACCCAGTTTGATCACCAGCACATTTATGGCCTCCAGAGTATAGCCAGGGACACTCCTAAGCAGTAGAAATAGCTCCTGAACACAGGGGTGTGGCCAGGACACAATCTACCCGAGGGCCCAGGCACACACAAAATCAACATAGAAAACCAAGCCTGGGGCCACAGGGATTCAGCATTGATTTTTTTCCCTAAATCTCAAAGAGGACCTACTACCCATTTCACCCAAACTCTTCAAGGAAAGGAAAAAGGAACTCTCCCACTTTCTATGAGACCCACATTACCTTGATCCCAATAGCTGGGTGAACATAATCAGAAAATGTTTTAAAAAATGTAAGTAGTTGACAGTATTTAAATAATCATACGAGATTACTGTGAAAAATTAGCAACACTAAATTGAAAGATCTAACAAAAGTGGATAAATTCATAGAATGTTATAATCACATATAATGGGTTTTTATGTAGTTTCTCTATGACTAGTCAGAGCTTGCCAGAAGAGGGTTTTTGTTTTGTCTCTCCTGGTGGCTTCCCACAGAGGGTGAAAGAAAGGATGTCTTTCTTTCCGGCACTTTAAACGGCAATCTAATTTCTCATTTTCAGTAGATCTGAAGAGCAGAGTCTGTCCCTGGCCCTATGCAGTGCATTCCTACCGGGCGCTCTCACACCGACCACTGGTGGCATTCCTACGGGGCGCTTTCACACTGGTCACTAGTGGTATTCCTCCTGGGTGCTTTCACACTGGTCACTAGTGGTATTCCTCCTGGGTGCTTTCACACTGGTCACTAGTGGCATTCCTACAGGGTGCTTTCACACTGGTCACTAGTGCACAGGATGGCCCGGAGTGAGTCCTCACCCTCAGCAGCGGGGATATGCAACTGGTGGGGTTCCCTCCTCTGCTCCCCCGCTCTTCGCCATGTCCGCGTCTGTCCAGGGCCTGCTCGAAGCCCGCTAAGCCCCGGCAGCCCGCGGACCACCGGGTCCTGCGGGAGCCACGGCTACGCCCAGCGCGCCCGGACGCGCGTCTGGGAGGCGCCGGTCGCACCACGCGGGATCAGTCCATCCGCAGCGACCAATCAGCGCCGCGCACGCTCCACTCTAGCCAATGGGAGCCCGCGCACGTGGCCGCGGCCGCGCCTGCCGTTCCACCCCGAGAGCCAGAGCCGGGGCGGGGCGGGCGGGGCGTCCACGCTCTCTGCTTCCTCATTGGCCAGGACCCGCAATGACTGAGCTCTCGCTGTTTTCCGATTGGTCAGTGCTCTGGAGGCTCGCCCTGCCCACTGGCTCCCGCGCGGGGATCGGGACCGGGAAGTCCGGGGCTGTAACGGGCTCGTCTAGCGCGTAGTGGTCAGTGCTGCGCCATCCGGACCCGCGCTGTTTAGCCCCGCGCTGCCCAGCCCCGCGCTGCCCAGCTCCGTGCTGCCCAGCCCTGCGCCGCGCGAGCCCTCGGCTCCACTTCAGGTAGCGTTGAGCGCGTGTCAGGGCGCGTTTCCCGGGAAGAGCTGGGCTGGTGCGGTGGCGTGGGCAGAGTGGGGTGCAGAGGGCACGGGGCAGGGAGGGCAGAGACGGGTGGGCAGCGCCCGGACCCCGGGCAGTCGGGGCAGCTCTGCTGCCAGCCTTGCAGGGCCAGCCACCGCCCCGTGCCCATTAGTCCGGGATGGACGTGGCGCTGCAGGGTTTGGGGAAGCCGCTGCGAGATGGGTGGGGAAGAGGCCAGAGGGCGTCCTTGCCTCGCCTCGGGGGCACAGAGAGGCCAGGTGCCCGGGGCCTGGAGGCACAGGAAGGCCAGGTGCCCAAGGCCTGGGGGCATAGGGAGGCCAGGTGCCCAAGGCCTGGGGGCACAGGGAGGCCAGGTGCTCAAGGCCTGGGGGCACAGGGAGGCAAGGTGCCCAAGGTCTGGGGGCACAGGGAGGCCAGGTACCCAGGGCCTGGGGACACAGGGAGACCAGGTGCCCGTTGCCTCTGATGCACACGTAGACCAGGTGCCCAGGGAGTCTGGGGAATCTGGGAGCACCCAACAAACAAGGCGTGTTGCGTGAGTTTCCTGTATTTATTGGTAGTGCAAAGTTTCTTTTCAGCTCCGATCACCCTCCAGCCCTTTGCGTTGGGCTACTTTCGTTCTGGACTGTGCAGGCAGAAACTCTGACCAGGGACTCCCTTCCAGCACTTCTGAACTGCGTGGTGCTTCTGTTCTTCCCCATCAAATGTGGTCGGAAATCATAGGATTGGCTCCTTAAGGTTGCTTATGAAGCTTAAATGAAATCATACAACTTGAACAGCCAGAATGAGGAGGTCTGGCTGCCCTAGGGAACGCAGCAATGCTCCCTCCAGACAAACTGGGCCCATCAGAACCTCACTTGGGAAAGAACACAAGCGGACTAACCTGTGCGCTATCACCAGGGGTCTAGGGCTCTCCTCTGCCTTTGTTTTAATCAAAAGACAGTGCTGGAGCTTGAATATTATCTGACTCGCACTTAAGGTTGTGAGTATTGGACTATTTAAACTTTGGTTTGGTGGGCTGGAGGCTATTTCAGCAGGGAGGATGCTAGCCTTGCGCAGGAGCCACCCTGGGATCCCTCCCTTCATCCTGCAGGGCCGCTAGGCTCTCAGGAAGTGACCCCTGAACACAGCGCCACGAGTCAGGCCAGAGCACAGCTACGCGTGGCGAAAACAAGAAGTCGGATTTTCTCTAGCTTGACCTAAAAGAAGTGAATGTGAGCACCAGAGCAGGATGGGTAATCGTGCCCCAGATACACTCCCCTGTTAGAGCCCTGTTTGTTACTTCCAGCTCTCACGTGAGGAATGGCTGTATTTGGTTGAGGTGGGAAAGACAAAGTATTAACTCAAAGTCAAGTGGTAATCAAACATACTGAAGCTCTTGTTAGGTAGGAAATAAAATGTTTAAGGCTGTAGTTTGTGCAATATCTCGGTATCCATAACATGTTAAAGTGAAAGTTTGCTGGGAATACACATCAGTCAGGTTAATTGTGATAGGAGCTTCAAGTGACTTTTTCTTTTTTTGGGTATTGTTTGGTCTTAAAAATGATACTTTGTCTTTAGTGGCATTGAGATCTTCATCATATTTAATACTTGGCAAAAATTTGTCTTGTTGACTAGGTGTGGAGAGAAAAAAAATCAATTTGGCAATTGCACCCACTGTCTTTCAACAGGTATTTTCTACGCTAGGAATCACTTAAAAAACATAAAGGTAAAGGTAAAGGCCCTCCCGTTGATCGTCGATTTGCTCGAGTGGGCCCAGTAACGTCTCCATTGGAGACTTTGTTGTTACTGTGTCTGGCATATTGAATACTCTCGGTAGCTTGCCGGGCTCTCCGAGAGGGGCGGAGGAATCGAACTCGGGTTGGCCATGTTGGCCGCTTGTAAGGCGAACGCCCTACCCGCTGTGCTATCGCTCCAGCGGTAACATGGACATAGAAAACATGAACAAAATGGTTAAAGTCAGGGAAAAAAGTAAAGGAGGACAACCCAGCCTTTGAGCATGTGTCTATTAAGAGTTTATAACTTTTTACAGAAGCTTTTAGGTCCTGATATGGCTGAGTGGTATAATTTAGGTGGTAAAACTGAATTGTTTTCTGTTGTAAGATCAAGAAAGGGAATACAAAATAGAATTAGTAAGAGAGTTATGGATGACATTTTAAGCTCCTCCCTGCCATTCTCCACAGATGGAGATTGCAGTACTACATGTTGCTTATTTCCCTTTTACTTAATGTTAGTGCCTGTTATATTAAGATGTACTTAAGCCTTGATAGACCCAGTACTGCCCCCACCCTTGATTCTGCAATATAGTTTTAGATACCCTGTCAAGCTTTCCACACACAGGTTTCAGTTTAAATAGTGATCATTATTGCCTTTAAAACTTAATTTTAATTTTAAAAAATCATGCAAGAATTAATTCCTTGCCTGAGAACTGGCTTACAGAATTGAACTTAGCATGGTAGGGGTGGTGAGGGCTGGGATGGAGGGGGTGGTGAGGTGGGAACACGGGTAGTGGATTGGATGTGGGGTTGGAGCATTGTGTGCAGGGAACCCTTTCATTGACAGTGTTGTAAATTATGGTGCCTCAGTTTTTAAATAATTAACGGCCAGGTTAAGTACTTCAGTGCATTAAAAATGAGTTTACCATGTTTGTACTTTTTTTTTGTTTCCCACATATTCTGCCACCCTAAGTAACTTACTTATAGTTTTTAATGTTTTTTTGTTGTTGTTACTGTGATTTGTAGTAAATGGTATTTGAATAAGTCAGCTTTCAAAGTAAAAATTTCATTTCTGTAATAAATAGGCTTCTTAAGAAAAATATTTGTTGCAATATGATAATGGAATTTTAATCTTTCAGATACTGAGAATGACTAATTTGGTCTGCCTTGGGTATTTGGAAGTCTTTCATAAGTAAGGGTAATTCTTGCATCCCCTTTTTGTGGGATTCTTAAAAAGGTATTTTATTGTATTGAACAAGTCACATTTCTGGCCTCTGAGATCTCACAGTTAAATGGGACATGATAGTAAATAATTTGAAGAAACATTGGTCGGTTCGCTTACCTATTTAGGGTGCTCGGGAGTGAGGAGTAGGAATTGGCAGTGAACTTCAGCAAGGCCGTAAGGTAATTCAGAAGCCAAAGACCTTTGAACAGTCGAGCCAGCAATGTGGTTTGTGTGGCCCGGGGCTCAGTCCCCAGCTCTTATTACGCCTTTTACTTTCAAAAGTTACACTTTTCAATTAGTCTTGGCAAGAATTCTGTAAAATCGTTGTGTTCTTGTCGATCATATCAGGGGTTGCCCCAATGCATTGTGATCTTGTTGGGAGTGCAGCCCTCAGTTTGTGTGGAATTTAGACTCCGTACTGATAGTGAGAATGAGTGATAAGTAAGCATGCAAGTGTCGGCTTCTCGCCTTTCTAGGGAGTTTCTGTTTTCTTCTATTGGCTGTATTTACACACAAAGATAGTATCTCTGGTGATAATAACTTTTCATTTTATTTTTGATTTGTATCGAATAGTGCTGGGAGAGTGCTTATTTATCTCCCAGCCACAGAAACCTGTCAACAAACTTAACCTTTGACTTTAAAGAATACTGTATAATTATAATTATCCTAGTAATAAAGTGAGTTTATCTGAATCTTTGTTTTTATTTTTTATATGCCAAAAGCAGTAACAACAGTTCTCACAATTTGTTGTGAGATGTTACTGGTGCCCGCTCGAACAAATTGATGAGCAGTGGGAGGACAGTGCAACAGTGCTACAGTGTTATAAGAACTTTGCTTGTTTGTAACATACCCTTGCATAGGTTATTGTACTTGCTATCAAGTTGGTAGTCTCTTGAATGAAAATTAAATCTGTGTTACGGACTTTCTGTTGTGTGCATCAGCTTTTAGTCTGTGGGTAAATCTACACCTATTGAACGTTTCTCATCACACATAGATCCTAAATTCACTTACTCATTTTTCAGTGTATTCCTGTTTCTAATGGGATGCCATCCCAAAATAAGCTATTTTGGAATAAAAACTTTTTGCTTAAGGTAATTACGAAACAGCAAGCACAGAAAAAGACATCTCTTCCCTAGTTACTGTATGCATGAATGTAAGATCATTTTGTGAAGGCCTGCCTTCTCCACTCTACAAGGAAAATAGCCCTTATATTTGGATAAATAGAAGTTGATACTGAAATGATTTAGCACTAGCACTATCCTCCCATTGTTCATCGATTTGCTCGAGTGGGCGCCAGTAATGTCTCTATTTTGAGACTTGTTACTGTTCTTTGACACATCGAATATGCCACTGGGAGCTTGCCAGGCTCTGCCGTGCAGGCGGGATACTCTTGGTAGCTTGCCAGGCTCTCTGAGAGGGATGGAGGAATCAAACCCGGGTTGGCCGTGTACAAGAAAAACACCTTACCCGCTGTGCTATTGTTCCAGTCCACTGAAATGATTTACACAAACCTTTGAAAAATAAGCCTTGTCTTCAATTTGCTTCCCTCCCAATTATTAGTTTATTTTATAATTTTCTTTCTTGCATATAAGAAATATTAGTTTCAACTTGAATTACGTGTCTTTTATTTTCTGATCATTTCCTTTGTCATTTTAGTTTACAGTCCTAAAAGAGTAGTTTCTTTCTTTACTATACTTCTATGATTCCAGTATTTTTAATGTTTTTATTCTGTTTTGTTCTATTTAAATATTGACTGTGCAAAATTGATTTGTTTTTGTCATCTTTCGTTTTTAGACCAGTGGTGCTTGGCTTGCCTATACAGCAAGATAATTCATGATGCTTTTGAAAAGACCTGGATTTCTAGGGCCAACTCCAGAACAGATCCATTGAACCAGAACAGATCCATTGATCCATTGGTCTTGAAATCTAATACCTGAAAACTGCCTTCGATTTTCAAAGAAAATCACAAAAGAAAATTTCAAAGAAAACCAGAGCCAGATAGAAGTTAAAGCAAAAAAGGCACTTGTGTGATAAAGTTATTTAAGGTTAACAGTAATATCCATATAAAAATACTGTTGGACAGCAATTTATTTTAGCAAGTTATTTGAGAATTACTACTGGTCAGCATTTTTGCAGCTTATCCATTATGTGTTCCGGTGGTTCTAAGAGTTCATGTGATCTCCTTTCTGACAAACCTCACTGACTCTGATATTTGCATTTCACCGAGCAAAATAAAATAGTGAAAACAGACAAGTTCTCTATATTCTAAACTTATTCAGAGTTCTGCAGCCTTTTTCACCAAGTGCATGAGAGCTGTCCAGTTGCTACCATTAGTTTTCTAGAGAATTCTAAATCTATTGGATGGTAAAATAAACATTTTCAGTGGCTGAAGTTCTCAGGAATTTTTGAAGAATTTGTATCTTATACATAGTGGAAACAACATTTTTTTGGGTTTTCATTATCAGGACTTTTATACTTATTCTTTTATATTAGATTCCAGTAGGAGGGGCAATAGGATCTTACTTTTGCATGAATGATCTTCACATCTCAATGTGTATGAATTCTTGTCCTGCATATGTGGGACTGATTTGAGGACTCATAGAAGAAAATGTCTGCAGAAGCCCCATTCCGGAAGTTGGGGTAGGGGCCAGGGGGAGCTGGACCCAATAAAACTATCTTTCATAATCCCCAGATAACTGTTATAAAGCCATATTTGAGACTCACTTGGCTACTGAATCAACATAGTATTTGCTGATACCAATAGTGCTTTCTGTTCCAGGAACAAAAGAAATGGAAGAATTGTCTGATGTTGATGCCTTTGCAACTAGACTAAAGAATACCCTTATTCAGTACCACAGCATAGAAGATGATAATTGGCGAATGGTTAAGAAAATGGTAAATTAATTAAATTACTTAAACTTAAGATGTAGCTTCTGTTTGATGAGCTGGTTGATAGCTTTCAAAATGGAATGGAAAAATAGAGATTATAGTTTAGACAGGTGTGCAGGGGAATCATTCTGCTAAGATCAGTAGTTTGACATCTTATAAAGAAGAACCAGTAGTGATCCTCAGTGCTGACACACTAAATGTGCGAGTAGGTTTATAGTCAAGATCTTAACAATGTATTGCTGACAATTTAAGAAAGTATGGAAATTGATAGCAAAATATTTCACAAAGTCTGTGAGTATGACCAGTTAGTATTTTTCAGAACTGTCACATGGCTAAGTATTGACAGAGCCACCCCTAGAACTAGAATACGTAAGTGCTTGAAATATTCTCATAGTCAAAATTCCTTGGGAAATAATTGGAAAAAAAAGAAAAAAATATATGTATAGTGACTAATTTAGAGTAACACTATAAAAAGAAGATTTGAAGTTGTCAGGGTTGATGGTGAAATTAGGTAGTGGTTGCTAAAGTGAGTAGTTCTTTTTGGAATGATGATAATGTTTCAAAACTGTTTTAATGACTTTTATTTTACAAATGGAAAAATTTTATGGTATGTGAATTAGATAGTATAACGCTTTTTAACAAGTGCTATTGCTAAATCCTAAAAGTTTTTTAATTTTGAGGCCAGAGTGGTAGCACAGCATATAAGGCACTTGCCTTGCACATGGCCGGCCTGAGTTTGATCCCTGGCACCTCATATGATACTCTGAACACCTGGAATGACCCTTGAGTGCAGAGCCAGGAGTAAGCCCTGACCACTGCTGTGTGTGACACAGAAATTGGAAAAAAAAATTTAGATTTCATTAAGTCATTGACTAATATTTTTTGGAGGTCTATAAATGATGTGGAGAACTTTATTATACAAGGTAAATTAAAATTGTGATCATTTTATGGTATAAATGATTTACATAATTTTTTTAAATGTTAAGTTTGATTTTAATGCAAAACTTTATAAAAGTATGTTTTGTTACATCTAAAATTTCACCTGTGTAATTATCACTACGTATGGCTTTTGTTTTTCTAGAAAGATGTAATAGTTTGGAGAAAACCTTCAGAAGAATTTAATGGATATCTGTAAGTTCTTATAGTTTTATATTGACTTTTTAAAACATAACGAACTTCATATTCATATGTATACATACATATGCATATGTATATATGTGTGTGTCTAATCCTTCATATATAATGTGTGTACATACACATAACCACTAAAATAATTGCCAATAAAATTTTGATTTTAAACATTTTGAGAAGATTTTTTTGCTTTACAAATTCAAGTTTGAAGGCTTTAAAGTGTTTGTATCTCTGGTAAACAGTTTATGATGTAAGGGTTCATAGATAATGATTGAAATCTTAATTGATTAGAATAGTATGAAAGAAAGGCCCTTTAAAATTTATTCTGCACTTAATATTTTTCTAAGATTTTATCTTAAAGTCATCACGAAGATAATATTATCATTTCAATCACAGTATCATCTAAAGGTAAAAGTTGTGACCTTAATATTTAATAAAAATAATTTAATGCAATGATCCTGAAAAATTAGTAGTTGGAGGATGGTTATAAAATGTGATATTTTAGTCTTCAAAAAACACATTTTTAAATATTATTTAAAAACATAAAAATGCTTTAGATGCACAGTGAAGTAGGGCAAAATGCTGAGTTGGATAGCACAACAGACACAATAGAGCACAATAGACACAATAGAGCACAATATGTTATGTAATGGAGATGGTCTCTATGTTTATGTTTGTATTATAGAATTTATTTATTTTTAAATCTTTACCATGTGCCTTATCTCAGAGGGGAGATTTCTAATTTTTTTTTTTCCTGTAGGAGTACTGCTATTTATTCAGCCACTGATTAGCTGATTGAATTGGGCATGAACTCCACCTTTTTTTTTTCCATAGTTTTATTTATTTATTTATCTTCTTATATTTATTTATTGATTACTGTGGGAAAAGTTACTAAGCTTTCAGGTGTAAGTCTCGGTCATACAATGATCAAATGCCTCTCCCTTCACCAGTACTCATTTTTCACCACCAAGAACCCCAATATAGCCCTGCCCACCCCTCCCAATGGCTATGAGGCAGATGATTTCCACTTAACTCTTCTTTACATTGATTACATTATTATTTTGACAAAAGATGCACCATTATTGTTTAGAATTTCACCCCCAACCATCAGAATTGCTGAAAAGGCATTGTGAAATACTTTTCCTATAGCTGGTTATGAGAATCATATAATGATTTTGGATTTCTGCAAAGAGCCAGATAATTATAAGATTGGTTTCTGTACATCTGGTGTTATAGCTGTGCTGGAGAGCTGCTCGTGGGGGGCAACTTGTGACCTCAGTAGGGTATGAGGGACGAGCCGGTACTGTCCCCCTTCCCATGAGACTGCAGTTGCCCCGTCGCCGCCATCTCATACCTGGCTTTCCAATAAGCTCTGAGGTGGTGGCCACCTTGTATGCGGTCCAGATGTATTTCTGCCAAAAGCCGCTGGGTTTCGAGATTTGTTTCTGAGTCTCTGGGTTCATGGCCACTAAGCAGATTGATCAAGAGCCAGAGAGGCCATTTGTAGGCAGCTACTCGTGGTCTCACTGGGATGGGGAGGAAAGGGCCGGTTCCTCCCCCATCTGGTGAGTTCCTGCATGTCTCGTCACTGCAGGCCCAAACCCGACTATCCAGAGGCTGCAGAAACAGAAAGCATTTCAGCCAAAAGCCTTTGGGTTCCAAGATTCATTTCTGAGTCTCTGGGATCATGGCCATTAAGCAGTTTGATTGGGAACCAGGGAGGCCATGCCTCCAATTATATAGCTGAGCTGGAGGTGGTTTGTGGGTGTGTCTCCCACATACCTAACTTTTGACTGTTTACTTTCTTGGTAAACTTTGCCCCATGTTGTTGGGGTCTGGCCAAAGGCACAGCAGAAATTTTGGGGTATCTGAAAGTCTGACAGTGCCATCAGGCTGCTGATGCACTCGCCTTACAGGTACCTGGTGGCGGCACCATACCCCCAAGATTTCCGATTTTTTGCCTTAAGTATGATGGGAACTGTGAATTTGATGTAAATAGTCATTATTAAAACTCAAGATAGCATATGTTTCTTATATTCTATTTTGTTGACAGATTTTATCATTAATGGAGGGTAAATCTTATTAAAAGAGTTCTCTTCATTAATGGATCTCATTATATGATCTTTTTCTTCTGTTGCTATGGTGTTTTGTGTGTGTGTGTGTGTGTGTGTGTGTGTGTGTGTGTGTGTGTTGATTTCTCTATATTGAACCACCCTGGTATCCCTGGCATGAAACCCACTTGATCCTGGTGCATGATCCTTTTCTTTTTATACGCTGTTGGATTCGACTCACCAAGATGTTGTTGAGGATCTTTTTATCAGTCTTTTACCAGTATGTAGTATCCATCCCTATCTCCTTTTCCTTCTTTTTTTAGTTTTAATGCTATTAGGTTGGATTTAGATATGACCATACCTGCTTTTTAAAATATCTGTCAGTGGAGCCTGAGCGATAGCACAGCAAGTAGGGTGTTTGCCTTGCACATGGCTGACTCGGGTTCGATCCCTGGCATCCCCTGAGCACCGCCAGGAGCGGTTCCTGAGTGCAGAGCCAGAAGTGACTCCTGACCATTGCTGGGTGTGACCCAAAAGGCAAAAAACAAAACAAAAACCTGTCAATGTGGATTATTTTTCAATTTTTTACTTCAAGACTGTTTATTCTGAGATTTCAAGTTTATGTCTTGCAAAAGCCAGAAAGTTGGATTTTGTCTTGTCAACCATTGCACCACTCTGCCCTATTGGAGAGTGTAGTCCACTGGCACATAGAGAAATCACTGAAATGAAGAAATGGTTTGTGTTTGATTTATGAGGAGCTTGGTTGTGTAGGTATTTGATCTTTGCTTTTTATATGAGATCATTCAGTATCTCTGGCAACGCTGGTTTACATGATAAAAAATGCCTTCAGCTATTTATTTGGAAATGGAAATGTGTTTTATCTATCCTTTAATTCTGAGTGATAACCTGGAAATGGAAATGTTTTTTATCTATCCTTTAGTTCTGAGTGGTAACCTGGTGTGGAAAAGAGCTCATGGTGGGGAGTCTTCCTTCAATCCTTTTAGATATCATTCCAGTAGCGGTAGGGCATATGCCTTGCACACAGCCAACATGGCCGATCCGCGTTCGATTCCTCTGCCCCTCTCAGAGAGCCCGGCAAGCTACCGAGAGTATCTCGCCCGCAAGGCAGAGCCTGGCAAGCTCCCTGTGTCGTATTCGATATGCCAAACACAGTAACAACAAAGTCTCCAATGTAGACGTTACTGGGCCCGCTCGAGCAAACCGACGAACAACGGGAGGGCCTTTACCTTTACCTTTTAGAGTTTCATTAGAAAAATGCTGTGAGCCTTCTATTTATCCCCCTAGTATCAAATTTTGCTTTTCTCTTTCTGCTCTAAGGAGTCTGTCTCTGCCTGGTTCCTGCCATTTTGATTGCAGGTCTGGTTATATTTGATCTGGCTTATTTTTTACTGGATTCCCTAGGGCTTCTTGGTTTTATTCTTCCATCTCCACCATCAGATTTGGTGATAGTGGAGATAGTTAGTTCTCAGCTATTTCTTCTTCATCTGGACTTCCTTTTCTCTTCCTTTTCTCTCTAGAATTTGTGTGATTCTGAGGAGGTTTATTCTAGTTTTGTCAATAATATCTTATATTCTCTTGTCTTTTGTTTGTTTGTTTGTTTTGGGGCCACACCTGGTGGTGCTCAGGGCTTCTTCCTGGCTTTGTGCTCAGGGATCACTCCTGGTGGGCTCAGTGTACCATACGAGATACTAGGAATTGAAATCAGACCAGCTGCATACAAGGCAAGCTCCTGGTCCACTGTAATTTCTCTCTGTCTTTTGCTGTTTTTTTCTCACTCTCTTTTCTGTTTTCTTGATGGAGCTGTTTACTGTATCTTGGTTCGATTTTAAGATCTTCTATTCTGCTGTTCAGACTTGCTACTGCGTTCTTTTTTTTTTTAAATGAGTTCTTTTTTTTTTCCATCAGGGTGTCCTAAAGTTAGTCCATTCTCTGCTGAAATGTATCTTTCAGATCATTAAGCATAAATATAGCAATTATCCTTAATGATTCTATAGACAGATTTTAAAAAACTGACGTTGTGGTGATTTTCCTGGGTTCTGTTACCTCTGGCGCCTTTCTGCTCCTGATGCCTGTTAGCTGAGGGATAGGATGTTGCCGTTTGCCCTGCTGGCAGGCACATGGGGCTGGGCTTGTGCTTGTGGCGAGCCTGGGTTTCCTCTGGTGGTGCCAGAACTTTGCTCTGTTAGTGATTGTAAATATACAACTGGTCTGTGCCGAAGAAGCTCGCCCCTCCTTCTAGAGGTATCAGGTTCTGCACTGTCAGTGGGTGCCCACAGGTGCTCTGTGCTCGGGAACTGCCCAGCACCTGGCACACTCCATTTGTTTGTGTGCCTCTAAATATTGTCTTACATGTTGAAATGATTTTATGTAGCACCAGATAGAGAAGTCTAGGTGGTGATTTTTGGAATGATTTTTATTTCCGTTGTTTGGTCTTTGCATGTAGCTGAAAGTAAATCATGCCTTTTGAGCAAACCTCTCTTATTAAAGATAGCGGAGACCATTTCCTTCTGCAGCTGGGTCCGTTGCTACTTGACTCCTTCAAAGAGAAGCCATCTGGCTCCTCTGCTCTGTGAGAACGTTCTGCAGGGTGATACTCGAGTTGCGCTTCCGGAAGGATGGAGCATGTAGCAAGGCCATGGGAATCAGAGACAGACTGAGGTCTGTGAGCAGTGTGTAGTCAACCCTTTTAGATCACTAATTCCCAGTGGGGTTAAGAAGCATGGAGAGTGCCAGGGGGTGTGACAGTATTTTAAAAGACAGGAGCTGGTATTTGAACTCAGCCGTAAGGATGAATAGATATTGCTTAGGGAATGAAGAACTGATTTGTATTCCAGTAAGAGAAAATTGCCTTTACTGTGTAAGCACAAATGGCAAACTTTGAGGAATTTGCTTAGGGAAGCAGAAACTCTGTTAGTATTGCTGGAACATAATGTATGGGATTGGGGAGAATATTTGTTTTGTTTCAATATTTTTTACTTTTTTCCTCCCTCTATTTTACTTTTTAATTTTAGACACTGTGATTTATAGTACTGTTGTAATAGGATCTCATACCTGTAATTTCGAGCCCTGCACCCTCACCAGAGTGCCCCCATCCCATCTACCCCTTCCCGCCAGCTCCATCTCCCACCATGCTAATTGTTGGCCAGTTTTTTTTTTTTTTTTGATATTTATTGAATCACTGTGGGAAAAGTTACAAAGCTTTCAGGTTTAAGTCTCGGGTCATGCAATTATCAAACACCTTTCCCTTTACCAGTACTTAATTTTCACCACCAAGAACCCTAATATACCCCCCTCCCAGCCCTCCCAATACCTGTGAGGCAGATGAATTCTACTTAATTCTCTATCTACTTTGATTACATTCATTATTTCGACAAAAGATGCACCATTATTGTTTAAGAGTTTACAACCAACAATCAGAACTGTTGAAAAGGCATTGTGAAATAATTTGTTTTCTACAGCTGGTTATAAGAACCATATGATGTCGTGCAGCCAATCGCGGCTATGCGATTTTGGATTTCGGATATTTTACTTATTAAGCCTGAAGGGATTTCTGCCAAGAGCAGATAATTACGAGATTGGATTCTATGGCTCTGGAGCCATGGCCATGCCGGAGAGCCACTCATGGGGGGCAACTCGTGACCTGGGTAGGGCATGAAGGACGAGCCGGGAACACCCCACTTCCTATGAGGTTGCAGTTGCCCCGTCACTGCTGGCTCATACCTGGCTTTCCAAAAAACTCCGAGACTGTTGGCCAGTTTTGAGGCTCTTTTGCCTTTGGCCATTTGTTGCTTTACTGTATTTCCTTAGATGTCATGTATAAAAGAGACAGTTCTGTTCTCCTTTTGACTTACTTCACTCAGCACAACACTCTCCAGATCCAACCACATAGGTGCAAGTTGTATTATTTCATCTCTTCCTGAAGTAGTATTTCGTTGTGTGGATGTACCATAGTTCTTTATCCAGTCATCTGTCCTTGGACACAAGACATTTGTTTCCAGATTTGGGCTGTTGTGAATAGTGCTACAGTGAACATGGGCAGGCAAAGGTCTTTTCTGAATAAAGGTGTTCTTTTTTTTTCTTTGACCAAAAGAGAAGAGGTTAAAGAGACTTTTGTCTGAGGGACTTTTGAATTGTAAGCTAAGTAATTCAGTATTTTCCTTATATTCTGCTCAGTCTGAACTGAAAGTTCATGATATATGTTAAACTTATCTAATAGCTCTGAAATGTGGCAATAAGCATGGAGATTTTTGAAGAGATTTTACTCTGGAAATCCGTGAGTAGCAATTACCCTGAGATTATGTGCAAAAATTTTCACAGTGCATATACACGTTATTGGAAGATATTGGTGGCTTTTCTTAGAGTCTTAGAGAAATATGTCCCAGTTCAAAGTTAGAAACAGATCCAGTGTTGAATTGGACACAGGATGCCCATACTAAGGATTCAATATGGAAGTTCTGAAGTGCAGATGTTTGCAAAGGACACTTAATAATAGTGACAGTGGTGTTGGTGGTGACGATGGTGTTAGGAACTAATGTTTATTTGCTCTAATCACTACATTTAGGAAAACATATAATAAAACATTGGCAATTTAGTAGTTCTCGCTATTAAATGGGTAAAGAATCAAAGACATTTTGAAGATTGTCAAATGAGGTTTCAGCTTTTAATTTCTCTACCAGGATAACTATTGAATCTAAGCACTATTCACAAAACAGTGCATCCTTTCATCACTTATGTGTAAATGCCACTTTGGAACATTTTAAAATTATTTGTAAGCCAATTCTAGGATAGTCTGGTCCTCGGTGCCATATTATTTTCCAATTTGCATAAGTTTTTAAAGGATAGAGTGAAAGTGTATATTTACTAGTACATGTTAGAGACTAAATGGGGAAAGAATAGCATACAAAATAAACGGAACCCAAGCCATGACAAATTTTGCTATGTTTGTGATATCAGATGTAGCATCTGTATGTATGTCATTACATTTGAGGAGAAAGGGTCTATTCCAGTGAAGTAATTCTAGAACTTACTTTATCAGAAAAGTTGTTGGGATTGCATTAAAAAAATATCTTTGATGGGGGCCAAAGAGATAGTAAATCAGGTATGTTAGCACTTGCCTTTTCTGCTGTCAAGTTGGGTTTGATCCCCAGCATGGCATGTGGTCCCCCAGATACCACCAAGAGTGAGTCCTGAGCACAGCATCAGGAGTAAGTGCTGAGTACCACGAGTTATGACCCCAAAACTAAAAAAGATCTTCTTTTGCCAGTATTTGTGAGAAAACTTTTAACTGTGGAGGCATGCTAAAGCCTTTCATACTAATTCTGTTTGATGTTCATATTCTTTCCCTAGCTTCAAAGCCCAAGGTATCATAGATGACACTGTCAATGGCGTCATAGATCACATTCGCCCAGGGCCCTGTCGCTTGGACTGGGACAGTCTCATGACTTCACTGGACATTTTGGAGCAATTTGAAGAGGTATTTGTTTAAAACTATCACTTCAGATTGTGTGTGTGTGTGTGTGTGTGTGTGTGTGTGTGTGTGTGTGTGTGTAACATGGGAGTGTGAACGTGTGCACACACTTGCCTCAATGGTCACAGCAGAGACCTCACTGTGGCAGACTTGAGTTTTCTGCTGTTACCTGAAGAGTGTGTGTTACACTGTTGATGCTGCTGAAGCAAATTGGCAGCATCTATAATTGTAAAACCTTCATTTAGGATATACGTTAAAATTTTGAAATATCATCAGATTTGGGTTTCTAGGTAAAACTATGTAAGTTTTTCACTAATAGGGACCCCAAATTGGAGTCTAAAGATAAAAGTGTCACCCACATTACAAACTTCCACATTACAAACTGCTTGCCTCTCCTATTAGCCATATTTGAACTTGTTCATGATACCATTGGCATTTTAACTAAAGTTTTTGTGGATTTTATCTTAAAGTTCCTATAGTCTGTATCATCTACTTCCATGTTGAATATTAAGTAAAATATCAGGCAAATATATTGAATTAGAAATTTGCTTACTGGATAATTAACTTCTGTGTGTTTTTTATATCTTGTTTATGTCCATACGGTTAGCAGTGAGATTGAGAAAGTAAATAAATAAAAGCCTGCCAGAGGCACCATGTGAATCACTATAATGATGACATGTTTTCAGTGAGCATTTCTTACTAAAGATTAACTTAGGATCAATGAGCTTGTGTTTGTGATTCCTAAAGTAGTAATACCTGTTCTGTGTTCCTTTTCAGAATTGCTGTGTGATGCGTTACACTACAGCAGGTCAGCTTTGGAATATAATTTCTCCAAGAGAGTTTGTTGATTTCTCCTACACCATAGGCTATAAAGAAGGCCTTTTATCCTGTGGTAATGATCACAAAATTTCTACTTAAGTTTGTTTTAAATATTTGTGTTTTCTAGACTGGGTGTTCTTTCTATGTAAAGTGTATTTTTTATTTTAATAGTTATTTTGTATTACTATGCTTTTTACATGCTAAACTTAGGGACTCTTTTGTTGTTGCTTGGGGGTCATATCCAACCCTGCTTAGGGATCAGGCCTGGCTACTTGGGTAATGATATGGAACAGGAACAGGATTGAACCCAGGTTTGCCATATGCAAGGCAAGCACCCTAAATCTGTACTATCTCTCTGACCACTAAACCTAGGGTTTATAATAACAATATCAAGAAGAGGTTTGAAACCTTTCTGGCAAGTTTTTTCATAGTTACACCGTGTTATCCAGTTCATAGCTAACAAATTTGGGTGTCGTGACTACTACCTCTAGGAAAGAGACCCAGGGATGGAGACATACTAAACCAGTAACGTGCTTCTTTCCTTGCATGTAGTCCACTTGGGTCCATCCCCTGCACCACATATGGTCCTTGGGTCCTTGCCAATAGTAAACCCTGAGCACCTTGAGATTTGTGCTCTCATAACAAAAACAAACAAAACAACACACGCACACACACAAATAAGAAAGCAGGGAAGAAAAGAAGCAAGAAAGGAAGATTCAAAAAAAAATTTCTCTCTAGTAACTCTCAGACAACAGCTTCTGAGTTACATACATAGAAAAAAATAGATTTCACATGTATTTTTTTATCACATGAATATTTTTATCTCTGAGTCTTTTTTCCAAGACAAAAATAAGGCTGTTAGATGTCTTCCTTTCCTCCTTTTTCCCTTTCTTTCTATTACAATCCTCAAGATTCATTTTACTAAAGAAATAAAAAAAATTGAAATTATATGGTAAAATCTATCAATACTGAAGAAAAATGTATCTGAATAGTACTTCTACAAGTGAGAAGATATCTCAGTCTATGAATTTTTGTGACATCTTCCCAACTGTCTTATCAGTATCTTTTCCCTCTAGCATTGCTTTACATATCAGGACAATAGTTGAAAGGAAAACAGGTGCCATGAAGATAGAGATATAAATGGTTTCACATTCAGTCTCATTCCAAGAAAAAAATTAAGGGCGTGTATTGTGTCAGAAGAAGGGTAAAAATTTCTAGATTGCTTTGAATATAGTTAAATTCTCTCCATTTTTTTAATGCAAAATATTGTTAAAAATATATAGTTCCATTTGTTTCTTTTTGTTTCTATTGCCTTACCCCTTGGAATTGTATCACTGGAAACAACTTTGAGGTCCAGATTGCAGTGTTCTGCTAATATTTTCCTCATATATTTATGGATTCTGGTCTGATCTCAGGGCTGGAGCGATAGCACAGTGGGTAGGGCATTTGCCTTGCACGCGGCCAACCCGGGCAACTTGGAATTGATTCCTCTGCCCTTCTTGGAGAGCCCGGCAAACTACCAAGAGCATCTCACCCACACGGCAAAGCCTGGCAAACTACCCATGACATATTCGATACGCCAAACACAGTAACGACAAATCTCACAATGGAGACGTTACTGGGCCTGCTTGAGCAAATCGATGAACAATAGGAGGACAGTGCTACAGTGGGCAGTGGTCTGATCTAAAGGTCTTTGGTCTTCTTTAAATTGGTGTTTGTGTAAGGTGTGGGATACAGATACAGCTTAATTTTATTTTTAACTTGTAGATATCCATTTCAGAGAGTCACCCACAGATGAAATAGATGTCATAATTAACGGCACCAGTGTTGCAAGTGTTATAACCTCAGAGACGTAGAAATTTTTATCATCTTAACATCATGCTATTTTCTTTATTTTGTTCAACCTGTTGATATGCCCAGTTTAGCAAATATAGAAATTGCTGCATTCAGTTAGAAATACACGATAAATTACATTCAGTAAGTCAGTAAAGAAGCTGGGAAGCTCCACTTGCTTTCTCATTAACACCCACCTATTCAACCATTTTAAACTTCTTGTTCTTGGTTTCATCATGAGTATGTGCAATTGCTGTTATGGTACCTGGCACACAAACCAGAGCCATGAAGGTGATAGAAACCTTTGGGAAACTTTGTTGCTGACCAAGATTGAAGTTGTGATTTGGTATTGGGGGGTGGGGGGTACCAAAAGCAGTTCATAGGAAGTGATGTAAGGACAAATCATTCCCCTCAGAGAGCGAAAAGTCAGAAAGGGCACTTCGCAGCAGTTTTCAGTGGTAATGCGACATTGACAAGAACATCTGTCAGTGTTGATGCTCTTGGGGACAGTCATCTTCATCAGAATGCGTTGTTTGTTGCATACCCAAAACCATAGGACGTGCTTTCAAGCTTTCTAGGATCTCCTGACTTATTCAGTTTCCATCTTTGAGGCTTCTAGGCTTCATTCCCCAAAGTTCTTGGTGTGTGATTATTCTCCAGGGATTCTGTAAAGTAGTATGGTTTCAGCCTCTCGTTCTCTGGCATGATCTGACCTTCCCCACTACTCTTTATGTATTCTTATGGGTAAAGTCAGCATTTTCAGGTATATGCTGGAGTTGGCAGTTGCTGACAAACAGACCCTTCTTTCCTCTCCACCTGCTCACTGTCCGCAGGGAGTAGTAGTGGTGTCATAGGTCTCATTATTGCCATCTCGAGCCAAGATTGGAGGTTTCCACGGAGTCACCAAGATGACATGATGTCATCTGTTCTGAAGGGAATAAAACTTTCCCTGTTACCTTTCTGCGTCCTGTCAGAATTCCGTTTGGTAATTATCTTTTTAATTCCTCAGTGTTCACTCTTGTGGCTTATTTTTCAAGTACATGGGTAATGAGACAAATATTTAGACAAGGAACCGGATAAAATAATATTTTGAGTGATATACTTAGAGTGATGTCAATAATTGTTAACAGTGTTATTTTTTAATTGCCTTACAGGGATAAGTCTTGACTGGAATGAAAAGAGACCAGAATTTGTTCGTGGGTATAACCATCCCTGTGGTTGGTTTTGTGTGCCACTTAAAGACAATCCAAATCAGAGTCTTCTGACAGGATATATTCAGACAGATCTACGTGGAATGATTCCTCAGTCTGCAGTAGATACAGCCATGGCAAGCACTTTAATCAACTTTTATGGTGACTTACGAAAGATTTTACAAAAGGCTTAATACACTCAAATTTCAATATTATGTTCCTGCAATCTGTATGGTCTGAAAATTTCCTCCTTTTCTTTCTTCATAAACTGTACAAAAATTTGAGATATTTTTGGTTCATTTTCTTCCTAAAGTATCTTTGAGTGGACATTTCCATTTTCTTAAGTGGTCATTTGTATATTGTTTGGTATGGCATTATGTCTGGGAATGGGAAGTATGCAGAAACCCATGAAGTAGAGAAGGTCCTTTGACTCAGACTCCTAAAAAGTTGAATAATGCCTTGATATAAATATTTTGGCTGCTGGAAAACTAGATAAAGTATACATTTTTTATTATTAGATTAAGAAAGTCCAGTTCAGTGCTATGAACATTTTGAAAATATTTTTCATTTTTTATAAGGTAAATATTAGTGTGCTCTATGAGTTTGCCAAGATCTTAGATTAAAGAAAAATCCCTTCTCTATATTTTATAAAGAGGAACTTTATTATCTGTTGACCTATACTTCTTTAAGTATAAAAAGGAGCAGATAAAAGATATGATAGTATCTATAGTGATCAAATGCAAATCTGTTTTGATATCTAGAGAGCATTATTTTATAGGTGTCTTAAAAATATTTGTATCTTTATATGTATTTATTTTGGGAGTCTTAAAAGAATAAACATGAGTGAGACAGTATAGAAACTCAGAGAACTGTATTATAGCTTCGTTTTGATTGGGCAGTAGTCTGTGTTGTGTGAAATGATTGGTGATATTCTTTAGTCACCAGTAGAGAGCCATCTCTTTGGAAAGTTAGATGCAGTGAATGTCATATATTTGTTTCGTTTTGAGAAGCATCATTCAAACTCATGAAGAATTACCAACTGTATAAAATACATTTACAATTATGATATAACTGTAGCCTGGAATTATAACAGATGTCATCATACATGTATCCTAATGTCTAAATGTATCAACAAATCCCTTCATTCTCTGGTCTCCTAAAATGAAGTTCATACATGATTTTAACATTCCAATTTATTTCTCAACTTCTGAACTGTTCATCTAGTTTCCTTCTGAAATGAGCACTTGAAGCAATCGAGCATGCCTATGCAAATCCATGTATGTATTTGTGTTTGTGTACGTGTATATATCTTTAAATCTATTTCACTGTACAAGTGAGTTTTATAAGTGTTATTTCTGTTTCTAGTGCTTCTTTTGTTTTGTTTTTTGGTTAATAGGGTAAAGTAAGCTCAGAAATATATGTTTAGGCACACAAAAAAGCACAAAGGTATATAGTAATTCAGATGCATAAAAATTTGATGTTCTTTTTTTTTTGCTTTTTCTGAGTGTAAAGAAAGCATGTCATATTTTCTTCCGACTTACTGTGATAAACTACAAAAAGTAGAACTGATCTTTATTTTAAATTATTTCCTATTAAGAATGATGACTTCAAAAATCAAAAAGGCAGCTGTAATACTACAATAATCGTAGTAGAATGTTTCTAGAATAAAAGATTTTTTGAAAGATCTTACAGAAGCAGTTTCTGTTGATCCTATCTTGGTTGAGTTTTATTAATATTTTGCTAAGTTGACTATAACTTTTGAGTTGCTAGATTTCTTTGTTACTCTTTCCTCTTTTGCAACAGGGAAAAAAAACTTGGCAGTATAGATTTCATTTGATTTTGTCAATTTTCTTTCATTTGGTTTTAACCATGTAATTTTGGGAGGCCTTTTAATATGTCAGTATTCTGTCTAGGACAGTGACATACCAGCAGATGTTCAATTAGAGGGTTCTAGATTGGGTTAAAAATCTGCAACAAGGCTGTGCATTAAGTAAGGGCTACTGACGCCTGATCTAGACACCCTTGGTAGGTCAACTGTCCAATCTAAGTGCACTGATGTCCCCTTGGTCCTTTGAACTTCTATCTTGGTTAGTTATTATGCAATCCACTGTTGAATGTAAACTACTGCAGGCAAAAGGACACTTTTAGCAATTTTTAAATTTGGTATTGTCATTCAGATGGATTAAAAATTATATTTGAATTACCCGAAATTTATACGTAGAGTCTAGATGTCACTTTAGGTCTGGTGAGCTCTAGTTCTTGACTTTAAAAAACACAGCTTTATTGAGGTGAGTTTACAATTTACCAGTAATAAGTATACGATTCACTCATTTTTGAATACTTTTGTATTTGTATAAGTATCACCACAAATCATTAGTACATTTGTATCGCTGGAAAAGATCCTTTTTGCCCATTTGTAGAGTCATATATAACCAAAGTTTAGCATAGTTTCCAGTAAACCGAAGATAATGAAAGAGATGAGGTTTTATTTGGTATTTTTTTTTAAAGGAAGAGAGTTGTGTTTAAATCTAAGCTCAGGAACCCTAAGATAATGTATGAAATATATTATCTCATATCATAATAGTACATAATATAATGTGTGTTGGATTAATATTAGCACAGTTGATATTTCCGTTGTAGTGCTGTAGAATAGAAAAATTATATGAGCCATGTACACATTTCAAAATTTTTAGCAGCCATATTAAAAAAGTGAACAGAACTTGAAGCTAATTTTATTAGTGTAGTTCATCTAACTTAATATATCTTTGATATTTTCTTCTCAACATGTAATTAATGTAAAAATCCAGAAGATAGTTTATATCCATTTCTTTCAATCGGGTATGTGTTTTATTCATTTGTACTGCCTGTATTTTAAGTCTCATTCTTGCATGAGGGCAGTGGTCTGTAGTGAACACACAATTATATAGTTTATGTATAAATTGTTTCTCTATAATAAGAGTTATAGACTCTCATGAAATTAGATATTTTTAAAAATCTCTTCTTGTTTCTGGATCCTTTAGTGCTGGCTTAGTGGAACCACTCACGTTAGGGATGAATCAGTAGTTCTCAGTAAATTAAAAATCATAAGAAAATTATTTCCCTTAATGGTTTAGTTTTATAGCGTAGTTAGTGAGATGAAGGAATATAATCATCCTATATACGTGGCTGCCGGGTCCCCACTGGCACTGCCCCTGAACCATCTGGCAATGCCGCCCTTTGACTACACATCCCAGGGTCTTTGAGGTGAGAGAGCTCAGACTTTGCTCAGAGGCAAAGGGCAGTGCCTGAAGGGGTGCCTTCTCCCGTAATTTGTAACCATTGCTCCTCTGTTATGAGCAGTTTGGCTTGGTTCAGGTCTATTCCTCTTCTTCACTCGGAGGTTATGTTAATTGTTAACAAAAGTGGTTCCCTACCACCCTGTCTTACCCGCTGCAGTGCTTGCTGCATGACTTATGTACTCCCCGGGAGACTCCCACTTGCACACGTCTGTTAGCATCTCCTTTGTGCTACACTCCTGCATGTATCCCATCAGTTACTGTCCCTCCACTCTCAGGCGGCTCCTCTTTCCTATATTCATCCCGTTGAAATGGGAATAAAGGTTGTTGATTATTGTCTGGTCATCTGTCTGCTACCAGTTTGTCAGTTTGTCTATCAGCCAGGGACCCTCTATGAGCCAGGACACACCAGGGGACTAGTCACTGCAGGATGGTGACTCGGAAGCCTGGCTAATTATTTTCTCTAACTTTGCAACATATTTATGCAGTACAGGGTACCTATATTTTTGAGGGAATTAGTTTCATAGAAGAAAAATAATTTATCATAAGTGATACTATTATAAAAACTTAATTCAGAGTGATAATTAGCTATTGATTTTAATACAATACTCAGCAAAAATAGTTATGGAATTTAATGCTGTACAGTTAATGTTTAATGTACTTTGCTAAAGTAGATTGTAGATGTTAAAATTCTTTTTGTTTCAACATTCTGCATATATGAATTTGGATATATATGAATCTGTATACTTCAATTGCAAAATTATCTTCCAGTAAAGTTCCCCCTTCCCCCAAATTTTCTCTTCGTTAATTGAAAGACATATTATCAACTCTGTTTGAAGTAAATTAACATCTCAATTTAAGAACTCTGTAGTTCAGATTCCTCTGGAGAAGTTAGGAGAGTGTTATGGCTATGGGTAGGTAGATTCCCTTGGATATAGGGACAAGCTTTAACTTTATATCAAGAGCACACTAACATCCTTAGACACAGGAAAATCCAGTTACTTTTCCAACTCTGAATTAACAAGACAGCAATGATAGATGCTGATCCAGCTTCTGTCAGACCCCGTGGAGAGTTCTATACCCAGTGTATCCCTCATGCTTTTCTTACTCAACTACTTGAAGAAGAAAGATTAGATTCCTCCCACAGTGCAGGAAATTGGGTTTAGAATTTCTTCATTATTTTGCTACTTAATGATTTTACATGTGTAGTTAAAGATTATTTCTTGCAATTAAATAAAAGCTATATTACATATGGAATTTATTTCTTTGGAAGCTTATAATTGTTTTATAGGCCAATATATGAAACTAGATGATTTATTAAATAAGAGCATGTATTACTGTAAATAAAAAGTTTTTATTTTTAAATTGTTTTGAAATGTACCAAAATAAAATTCTAGATAATTTTCTCAGTGATTGTGTATGTAATTTCCTACAACATTAAGATTAAAAATTGTATATCATTTAATTTTATGTACTCTTTTAAAAATACTTGACACTTCTAGTCCACATTTTCATTTGTTCATATTTGTATTTGTATGTAACACCCACTGTGATCAGGCCCCCGCAGGTGAACCCAGCTATGTGGCAGCCTGGGGGAGGCATTCAGCACCAGAATCAAGTGGGGGCTCATGTGTTCTGCCATGTTAGCTGTTTCCCTGTCCACAAACTTCCTAACTCTTAGGATTCCTTCCTTCATTATGAAGTTGGTGGGTTCCAATGGTGCCTTCTGTGAGCTAGGAGGAGAGAGGCAGTCTCCTGATCTGTCCCTGCCTGAGACCAGCTGGGAAGGCTTTGACTGATGCAGACCTGCACTGCACAGTCCTTGCATCCCATCAGCCCACCAAGCCACCCCTGACATCTGCTTGGTCTGGGTACAGAGTTGATTCCACCACCCAATCTTTCCTGGAGCCGCAGACTCAGCTGGAGTGAGGAATTGCTCTTTGCAGGAAAGTCGATCCTAGGCCTTCCCCAGGTTTCCGAGTCCTTGTCTTTTGTCGCAGAAAGGAATTTTAGGAGTAGAGAATAGACATTATGTGGAAGGTCTTAGGAAGGGGAAGGAGGGAGAGAAAGAGAGTAATGCATTCAAGAGGAACGCGGGCCTCTCCCTCCTTCTTTCTCAGCACTGCTGAGGGCATCATAAGTGGAAGTGGGCATAGAACCCAGGTAGGCAAGTGCCCTATCTACTATCCTGTCTCCCCAGCTCCAACTTCCTATAAGAAAAAAATATATGTGAACTGAAAAATAAAGTTGAAAACCAGACATGCTAATATCCCACTGTTGCACTATATACAATATTAGCCACAATTTGACTTGCTATGGCTTAGCCAAGATGATGATTAATATATATTCTGCCCCTTAAGAGCAAAATATGAGTAGTATTTATTTTATATTAATTGTTTAAACTTATTAGAAGTTGTACAGTTACAAAAACAGTAACAATGAATGGTCCTCATTCCCCTGATCCTGAAGGAACCCACAATATGTCATCGGGCTACACTAGCACGTGACAGAGACAAATGGAGACGTTACTGGGCCCGCTTAAGCGAATCGATGAACAATGGGGTGATAGTGATAGTGATAGTGACTTTACAAAGAAGCCTTTGATAATGATAATTATGTTGTGGGCAGTCTGCATTAGATAATATGCTGTTCAAACAGTTTTAGTGTTTAGGTTATTTTCTCATTTAACAAAACTTTGGATATAGGTAATTATTAGTGTCAGGACCCAGTTCTCTAGATCTCTAGAACTTCAGTTCTCTAGCCAAAAATTGACTGATTAGCCCTAATATTACATATGAATCTGAGTTAAGGAGAAGCTTGGGGAAGACCTGACAAACTGACATTTGTCTTTCTTTTCTATTCTTTTCTTTCCTTTTTTTTCTTTTCTTTCCTTTTTTCTTTTTCTTTTTCCTGTCCCTCCCTCCTTCCTTCCCTCTCTCCCTCCTTTCCTCCCTCCTTCCCTCCCTCCCTTCCTTTCCTCCCTCTTTCCCTCCCTCCCTTCCTTTCTTCCATCCTTCCTTCATCCCTCCCACCCTTCCTTCCTCCCTTAACATTTTGTTAAGAGCAAGAGATGGACTGTATTTCCTTTCAGTACATGGTAGCACTGTAGCACTGTCCTCCCGTTGTTCATCGATTTGCTCAAGTGGGCCCAATAAAGTCTTCATTGTGAGCCTTTTTGTTACTGTGTTTGGCATATTGAATACGTCACGGAAAGCTTGCCAGGCTTTGCCATGTGGGCGAGATACTCTTGGTAGCTTGCTGGGCTCTCCGAGAGGAACAGAGGAATCGAACCCGGGTCGGCCTGGTCGGCAGTGTGTAAGGCACAGGCCCTACCCACTGTTCTATCGCTCCAGCCCCCTTTCAGTACATGTCGATTAAATTTTTATTAAAGGAGGTAGTTCTGTGGTTTTACAAAATGAGACAGAAAATACTGTTTTTTGTAGTCACAAATGGTTTTGCAGATGGGAAAGGTTCTTGTTTTCCCTCTAACATTTCCATCAATTCCTTGAGTTGAGCAGTTTAGAACAAATGTATCCTCAATAAAGCAAGGATTTGGGACCTACTGAGAGTAGCAAGCTGCAGGGTTGTTAAATCCCTCTAGTACAACTTCTTCCCTCAGCTGTTTCTCACATGTTTGCTAATGAGTGGCTGAGCTCAAGAAAGACTTGCAGATCTTTTGATTCTCATACTGCTAAAAGTGTTTTCTTTCAGAAAGTGCAATTTTTATTCCCATCTTCAATCCTATAGGATCTAGAGCATCTTCATAAATGCCCACTGAATGTCTTTTGACCCAACAGTTGCACATTAGAGTTATTTCCTTAAAGTAGATTTTCTCAAACATAGAAAAGACTTTAAAGATTGTTTGAGATAATAAAAATTAAAATATTCTATTATACTCATAAATGTTTATGAAAATTATACAGAAATGCTTGTGCTCTAGTGATAATATAAAAGGTCTTCTAATATGACTACAAATTTATAAGAAAGACATTAAAAGTTTTCTTTAGAAAGTGGTAATTTTCCTATACTTCTGTATTTTCAGTTGTCCAGTGAAATAGTAGACTCATTTTTATTTTGGCAGGGCAGGGCTCTAAGTAATGGGAACATACTCTCTTGCCATTCTGTGGACTAAAATTAAGGTTTCCTCAGGGTTGCATTTCTTCCTGAAGGCTCTAAGGGAAGAATCTCTGACGTGTGTATCCTTGAGATGGACTACCATTCCCCACTGTCTTCAAGGCCTCTGAATTGCTCTCTCCTTGCTTCAGGTTTCATTTGGGCTCCATGATTTACAATACTGTTCACAGTAACGTCTCAGGCATGAGTTCAGCACAGTAACCACCACAGGATGACCATCTCTCCATTCAGTCTCTGGGTCCCTTGTCACCTCACTGCTCAGCAGACTTTGTTCTGTGGCCAACTCTCAGAGCCTGTCACCACTGGCCATTTCTTATTCCCTCCCTGTGTTTTGAAAAATTAGGTTTTATGTGGATTGTTGCATTTATCATGTATCCAGTGAATTAACTTTCCAGTGGTAAGCACTGGACAAAGAGCTGACCCCCAGATCTCATCTGGCCTCAGACACGTCATGGTTTTGAATGTTGTCACTCCTAAAGTGAGCTTATTGAACTAAAGGATTACTAAGATCCCCTAGTAACTCTGAGGGATGTCTAGTCTGTATGACCTAATGGTATATAGTATTAAAATTACTAACTGAAACTACTACTATGAAGTCCAAAGTATAATTTTCTTTCTGGGAAAAAAATTCAGTGTAATATATCAGATACAAGAAAAATGTCTGTTGTGTTATTCTTGAATTGTAACATTTCAGATTACAGAATGCACAATTTTGGTGAACTCTTAAATGATTTATTTTCATACTGTACATGCAGATTGCTTTACAAACTCCCCAGCAGCAAAGTACATGCTTCTTTTGTCTGGCATGTTCTGACACAATCTGAGTGTACTTACACAGAATAACATAGGCCCTTGCTAAGGTCACTTCCAATAATCTAACAACATCCAGTTTGCCTCAGAAGTCACATATTCTTTGTGTTCCCTGGGAAACATCAACAAATGGGTGTTATTTCATCATTTAATTGGGTTGTCCAGCCTGAGTCCAAGGGGAAATAAACAGTTATCTGCAGCTGTCAAGTCTGCTCTGGCTCTGGGGGGCCTAGAAGCAGTGACTACTGTGTTTATTCAGGAGCAGGAATAGTAGGTCAACCAAAGCAAATGAGCATGATGTTGCTGAGTTTTCTACAAACATTCTCTGTATTTACATTTGTGACCAGGTCAGGTTTAACATATTTCCCTAAAAACACGGTCAGTTATCTATGTAATGAGTCAATAGCACCATTTTGACAGGATTAAAAAACAAAATGTTCACAGGACCTTACCAGTGCTTTCCGTCAGAAGCAGGGAAGCTAGTAGGTCCTCTTAGTTGTGTAAACAATTTTTAAAAATTTGTCCTCCAAATTCTACATTTACTTATTTTTGGCTAGTTTTTTGCAGTCTAAAGTATGCTACTGAAGAAATTCATTTCCTGTTTTTTCACAATGGAATTCCACACTGTGATTGAACTGCTTATGCCCTTTCAGTGCAGAAAACTTTCAGCATCGCACAAGTACAAATTTTCCTCTGGGAATAAGTAGAAAAGATACACCAAATAATGTGACATAAGCTTGAAAACCCCTAGTAAGAATTTATTCTTTCTCAATCTCGTTAATGTTTCACTTTGGTGTATCTCTAGGTATTAGTTCCTCTTCCATCACTGAGACTATAGTCAACCTTTATTCCCTTATTTCATTTGCCCTGAACAGTAATTCAGGCATTCACTAATCAAAGACCTTATCTTAAGCAAAGTCCAAGACAGCTAGGTACATGTGTGTTTATACAGATCTCTCTCTCTATATATATATATTATATAATATATATTAGACGTTACTGATATATATATATATCAATCACTTGTGATCACTTGCCATCCCCTTGTTCATCGATTTGCTCAAGCGGGTGCCAGTAACGTCTCCATTCAACCCTGTCTCATGTACTAATGTGTATGTATATATAATATATATACACACACATATATTATATACATACACATCATACACACACACATAAGATCCTAATTGGTAAATGCTGTTTTTAAAATGTTTCTTGAAGGCAGCTACAAAATACTGCCCAAAACTGAGTGATACACAAAGAACTTTATCAAAGGGTGTATGAGGGGAAAGTAAGGAGGAATGAAGAAAGGAATGATCCACCTTATTTGGGGAGACAGTTCTAGAAATTTTTATTTCTGAAACTTAGCTTTGCACAATTTTTTTCCATAAAATTGTTTTTTCTCTTTTGATGTTGTGGAGTCTAAGCAGTGTTTAGGGGTTCAGGACCACTCCTGTGACT